GCTGCTTATATCCAGTTTAATACTGATTTTACAAGTAACAATCCTGCAGTACTTGCTGTTTACCAGCAGGCGGTGCCACCTGATGGCAAAAACCTTTCTCCCAATTTCACCACAAGATGGTTTTCATTGTCATCTTTGTAGGAATCCACACACAGAAGGGTTAAAATTGCTAAACAAAAAAAAAAACATCTTGGGAGATGGAATATTCTTATGAAGACGGTGGCTTTGGCTTGTCTTAAATTAACTCATATCACTGCCATTGCTATTTCACCCCTGTTGATCTCACTTTAAAACACCTAAGTATATCACTCAGATTCTTCCACTCTGTGTTTTCTAGAATTCAGTTTAAAGAGCTGTTCCAGAATTCTGACTTACGAGTCCAGTGAGAGTGATAACGATCCTCTCTTATACACACGGCACGTGAACACCACAAACCCCTTCATCAAGACTGTCTGTCTGCAGAAGATCATCATGGCTTGCTCACAGGAGGCGCTCTGAGTTTGCCATGGCTGCTGTAAGGCTCCTGCCATCTCTCAGAAGGACATTCCTGTTGATCCTCTTATATATTCTTTAAAGTCTGTTGCCACGTTCAGTAAAGAGCACACCTGTAGAGGTGAAATGTGCTAGGCAGGTAGTATTTTGATGATTAAAAGTTAAAATAACCAATTAGAAACAGTCAGCTTGCATTTTAACAAAGAGGTGATGGGGCATGTTTGATGACATTACCTGTCTAAACTTGGCACGCAGCCTTTCCATGTTCTCTTGAAGTTTCTCATACTTAGGGTCCTCATATGGAAAGTTTTGGATCAATCCAATCAAAGATTCCATAGCTTTCAGCCTTTTTCTAGAAGTAGAGAGAAATTTAGCAGTGCGAGAAATTATCTTACTACCTAATAATCTTACTACTACTGATGAAAAGCAGTGTTTGTTATGTGTTAAAGAACATACCTTGCTTTAACATCACTACTGTTTTGAAAGAGACATTTCCATGCAAGGGCAAATCCATAATAAAAAGAAACCTGAAAAACACAACAACTGATGAATATCAGATGTTTCATGCACTTACATAGTTTAAATAGCTTACTAAAAGTAAATATGTATAAAACTGTAGGCTATATATATCTATATGTGACCCTGGACCACAAAACCAGTCTTAAGTTGCACAGGT